TTCCGTGATAAAGTGACGTGTTGAGAAGAGGTACCGAAACGGTCAAGTAGTTTACAGGGTGTTTACTGTGGTTTTTATACGGTGCATTTGCGGATGTTCTTGGTGGTGTCAACGACAAATATATAACGAATTTCACATGTGTACTTTGTGGGCCGTGTCAAGATTCCGTGGGATGCAACGACATCAGTGGGATTTGCTACCAACAAGAAGGACCTCAGGCTCATGGTTTTGGCATGGCGAGTCCTCGCGCTGAACTGAGGGTGCAGTGAAACAAAGACACCGAGCAGATAAAGAACTGCGAAGAGACACCTCGGCAACAGCTGTCTTCAGCGAACGTCACAGCAGCCCTCTCAGGGCGACATGATGCGATCATTCGTCGCTCGCCCGCTGACGCTCCAGCTTAATTGACATCAAAGGCAGCCTGACCATGGGTAGAGGCTAATGGAAGGAACTCAAATTAAAATTCACGAAGCTGTCTACGGCAAAAGTGTCATCATCAAACAAAACATGGTAACGGTGACTAGGAAGAGTCGCCCCAGTGCCTGCAAAGCAAAGCAATGAAAGTTGATGGTTACAATCACACACACCTGCACTTTTTTCCGTTCGTGAAGAAGGTGGATTACATTGAAAATTGCCCCAAAGTCACTAGCAACTGACACAACATTCTCTAGTATTGTAATCCCCCTAAACATCTGGAAGTTGAAGCATATGCTGTCATCAACGAAGCCCTAGATGCGAAGCTACCAGGGAACTCACTTTCATTTTTCTTTTTTGCATTCTATCCCATGGCAGAGATGTTCGGCTACCTCAAAACCAAAATCCAAGCGCTCCAATTCGTCCCATCGTGCCTGTGTGTGGTAACCCCTCAGACAGATTACCTTGGTTTCCCAGCAGGATTTCAATCACTTGATGTCGGTACTACCTACGGTCCTGCGTAACACAGAACCATACATAAAGGTGACGTCTCCCAGTTGCCACCTCCTTCGCCACATGGTTGCAACAATAGAAACAAAGGCGAAGCAAGCAAACTGTCGCTGTCAACTTTCCTGTTACGGATGACAGCCTGTGCCATCAGGTCAATGTCACAACGCCATTGAGCTGCTGCCCGGTCCGTAGATGTCGCGAATCAGCGGCCCTGTTTGACCCTATGTCAAGCTCCTTATTCGGTCGGCGCTGGAGAAGCTAGCGTTTCCACCTGGAAGTATTATTCGGTTGCACGTATAGTTGACACCCGCGGCAAAATGGCATAGTGTAACAGACACCAACTTCAGATGGTGTAGAAGCTAGAGACAAGGGTTTGGTTTGCAACCAAACCATGGATGTTGGTTGCCAATCAACAACCAATTATAAATGCACCATGGGCCATGTGATGCTTCCATTTCCAAAGCCGAAGTACGCACCGAAAAGGGCCATAGTGGTAAGCACCGAATTGGAGAAATCAAAGCCATAGTTAATAGCTTCATGCTCGCGTATGTTTGTGTCTTAACAGAATACTTCAAGCTTTCGTAGCATTTATTACACAATCGTTTTGACAAACTGGTGTGTTACAAGCATTATAGGACACAGACGTTGAAAAAAGCAGTACAAATGAAACGAACTACTTTCACAGTGGTGAGCAGGAAGTCCGATGAAATTTCTCCTGCAGGATCGGCTTCTCCACATAGGAACCCTGGGCTATTCAGAAGGACTTTGTGTCTATCAATAGGTGAAAAGTAGAAGATCTATCGTTAAGTGAAAGGATGATCTATCAATAACTGAAAAGCACAAGAAAGGTGGTATGCTCCTTTTAATGCGCTTGACAGACACGCGCATCGGTCGCAGCACATCTCCGCTGCTTCGAACACTGACATCACTCAACAAGTCACTTTCCACCCTCATATTCGGTACGGATCATCGACACTTGGGCTTGTTTGTGTGCTCCCGACAACCGTCAGCTCAGCGCGGTAAATCCGATGCTAGGATGCGTGAGCTTGAAGGATTGCACTGGTGCTCGCAGTGGTGTATGCCTAATCGCGAACTCAGTGCGGGTCAAGGGTCATCTTTCGACTCAACCGCCTGTTGCGAGCCCCTTTAGCGTAGTCACCACGCATTGGGTGTCGGCATGCGATATTCAGTTAATTGTTATTTTGGCACCTTTTCACTAGACTAAGCGTGTCAGAACCCATGCCATTTGCTATGGTTTGTCAACTTATTTGCCGACAGCTTACAGAGAACCCATTTCGACAATCGCTGACGAATGAACGCAGAACGCACGCGTCGGATATGCAGGGACAACAAATATGCGTGGTCTAAGCAGCACATATTGAATATACGTGGCCTAATATGCGTCATATTATGCGTGGCCTAATACGCGTGGCCAAACGTCCGCCGTGAATATGCGTGACCTGAGCAGCACATACTGAGCAGCAAGCCACGGACTTGCTAGATTCTTACGATTTCTCCCAGACACATGGTGCATGATAACGTCCACAACCAATGTGATGTCTTCGTTTTCGTATTGACTACCGCCGCCCCCGCGGCCACGTTTTACAGGCGAGCTACACACTTCCCTTGTTGTTCGTTTGGCGGTGCCGGCAATCGCTTGGCCTCTCAACAAATCTACCCCTATTTAACTAGGTGCCACTTTGCGCATCGTCATGCCCCTGAACTCTGGGGACATCTTGGGAATCGTTCCTCCTCGATTCACGGATCCACGGAGTTCGACGCTTTGTGTACCGCGAGACCCAACTAATGAATAAGCTCATGGACCGGAGCATACCACGAGAGCGCGGACGGGACGCACGCGCAATGACATGATAAAAAGTGATTCCTTAATCCGAAAAGGACTTCACCAACACCATTCTCATCCCCACAAACGCAACTATCTCCCCAGCTACGCGCGAGCCAGAAAGGAAGGCTGCATTCGGGGCTCTACGCTGTGTGTGGGAGAGACGTAGTCAGCACTCTTCTTCCAAAAATGCCCCAATGTCATGCGACGCCATGTCTGAATGCTCTGCTCAATGTCATGTGACTTCTCACCATTCCAAGGGTGCACCGTTTAATATAGAAACGACCTCTCTCTGCACGCAGCAATTACATTTCCACATCATAAAAAACAATGCAATACCATCCAACTGCCAGCGCATCACAAACACACCCAAAACAGAGCATAGGGATGACGTTTTCGGTGATCCCGCTAAGCCAGACGGCGTGGCCATCTTACGCACGCTCTGGGCCAGCGATCCGCCTTCCAAACAGCGGCGGTGGCTTTCGTACGAGCCGGGCTCCAGCCGCAGGCGTCTCAGTCAGGATCCCGTCTCGTGTTTGTCTTCGCAGCTGCTGGGAGAGCCAACTGCTAACCGGGTTGATGCTGGCGACTGACCCGCTTGCAAGCAGCAGCCCAGCTCCTACCACAGCCGCCACCACATCACAGCACAGGTCAGGACAGAGGAAGAGTGGGCCCCTCTGGGGCGATCGTCGCCGATGACAGCTGGCGCAGCAGCCGCTGTAGAGCAGAATCGGAGCCGGAGGCGTGGGTCGAAAGGCCGGCAGGGGGGGGGGGGAGTTTTAACGTCGCTTCCACGGCAGCCACGGAGCCTCGGCGCGGAGGTATTTCCAAGAAAGGGGTCCGGGCCGCCGGACCTGCGCGTGCGTGACGCGCGGCAGGGGGACCGTTGAAGCGGCCGCGCACCCGCTCAAGTTCCTGGTACCTGAAAGGGCCGTCTGAGGGCGCTGGAGCTACGCACCTCACGGCGTCAGAGCGGGTCACGGCCGGCGGACCCCAACGCGCTGAAGGCCACAGGCTACATCTACAAGTCCCTGAGAGAAGCTGCATTCGCCAATCAACACGGCGGACAACGCAGGCCAGTCCACCCGCCGCGAACGTCCCTATCCACGCGTCCTTCTCTGAACGCCTCTGCGAGCACGATCCTCCGCAGCGGCCTATGTTGCGGGCGCGTGGCGTCGCAGGTTCTGAGCGGACCGTTAACTGACAGTAGAGCGGGCACGAGTCGGCGGCGGTTAGAGCTGAACACCGCAATACAGACTCCGAGTAGCGGAGGACTCTCAGTTGAGGGAGCCCCGGGAATAACACGGCGCTGATAATCCGAGGTCAAGCACAGTTGCCTCCCCCTACGACAGAGTGGCTCCTCCTTTTTCCATTCAGATCGAACAATCCGGACAGATGACCTGGAGGTGTGACGGAAGCCGTTCGGATGAGATCAGGTCACTACGTGGCTTCGTGGGATCGTGCAAGCCGGGAAAACGTGGGAACGAGGGAGCGTGGGAACTAAAAAAAGGGATCGTGGGTTCGGTCCGCCAGTCGCCTTTCGGACAAACAGGTGACTGTTTGCCTGCGCATTACCTAAACTCTCCGGGCAGATCACAAGCGCCGCAGGCTGTCCGGACCACCCGCCCAGACTTGTCTGACCCGACTACCACCAAGACCGCACTGCATCTAGTCCTAAACAACCCCGGGACTACAACACCAAACCACCCCAAGCGCAAACACGCGTAGAAACTGCACGTTAGCGCATCACGGAATTCGTTCTGTTACATAGCGCCTGGCTCGGTTCGGCAAGCTCGCCTACAGGGAAGCGCTGGACGTTTCGCATTTCCAGTTCCAGACGGAGAGCCAGCGTCGTCACTTCGATGGTTAACAATCACAGAGGTGTCATGCGTCCAGCCCACACACAACCGAGCCCAACACAGTCCCGGGACGGCCGGCTGACGCAGCGGTGGGGTTCATCGGTGACGCAGCGGTGGGCCTCCCCCCGCCCACACTCTCCGTCTCCCACCGCCCACGCTCTCCGTCTCCCACCGCCCACGCTCTCCGAACACTCAACCCCATGTGCCGCCTCCCGCCGCACCGCGCGTGGGCACGGCCGGCCAGCCGAGCTCAGCGCCACGCTCACAGCCGCCGTAACCAGCGCCGGCCGCCGGTCCGCCCGGCGGCCGGCGCTGCGGGCGCCACAGCGGACGCCACAGCGGCAGCGCTTCAGCTGCGGGCCTCAGCCCAGCTCTCCCGCCGCTGCCAGCCGCCCGGCAGCACCAGCTGAGGCTCCTCCGGCGACCCGGGCTGCGACACCAGCTGAGGTCCGCATCTGAGACCGCCGGCTAAGATCAGCGCCGCTCAGATCAGCACCGCCCAGATCAGCACGTCTGAGACCGCCGGCTGAGATCAGCCCCGCTCAGATCAGCACCGCCCAGATCAGGACGCTGAGATCAGCACCGCCCTGATCACGACGCGGCAAAGGCCACCCCTGAGTGCATTAGCCGCACGTGCTGCTCGGCCGAGCGGCGCTGGGCGAACTTCTTGCCGCACGTGGCGCATTCGTGCCGGTGCGACGCGTGCGTGGCCACGTGGTTCTCCATGGCGAACTTGTGCGTGAAGCTCAGGCCTGCCAGCAGGTGGGCGCTAGGTGAGATGGACGACAGGACCTGTGGCATGCTTGTGGGAGGGCTGTGCGATCGTTCAAATGTTTATGTAGTCAGATTCAGCGGAACACCGGGTGGAGCGAAGCGCATGTTTGCGCGTGGTGAGGTGCGGCAGGGCACGCATGGGTCAGCCCGTTTGCTGCAAGGTCAGATATAGCTATGCCGACGTCTTTGGCCGGTGCCTGACAACCAGACTGAAGCATTTGTCGGACAGTGCGGTCACTGTCCTCGAAGCCTCGAATACGGCTTCGTCTCGCTGCCCCCCCCCCCCCCCCTCGAATGGCGGGGGCAGCGAGTCCCGCTGACATCGACGCTTGGTGAGAGCGGTCTCCCGAAGCGCGGCGGGGAGACCGCTCTCACTGACCAGGGGCACACACCCGCCAGACCTCCGCCCGCCAAGCCTGCGCGCGACGAAACCCCGACCGCGACGCACCAACGACGTGGCGTGAGCTCGCAACACTCTCAAAAGCACAAACCGCGCGTCACCCGGCGCTCGTTATCTCACACATCCCCACTTCCGTCTTCCGCTCAGCGGCGCCGCTGCGCCCGACGCCACCGGCGTCCTCCAGATAGCGGACCGGCGGCGGCGGCGGCGGCGGCGGGGCGCTCACCGCAGAGGGCGCAGCGGTGTGGCTTGAGACCCGTGTGACGTAGCTTGTGGCGGCGCACCATTGAGGCCGTCTTGAAGGTGCGTCGGCACACCTCGCAGCTGAAGGGCCGCGCGTCGCTGTGCTTGAACGTCACGTGCAGCTGAAGGTCGTGCAGGCTGACGAACCTGTCGTCAGGTCAAGTCAGATCAGGTCGGATCAGGCTGGCCAGGTCAGATCGGGTCAGACTAGGGATCGGTCCGGGTCATGTAGGGTGAGGGGTCAGGCCAGGGTTTGGGTCAGATCAAGGGTCAGGTCAGCTGCCAGGTCAGGGATCAAGTCAGGGGTCAGATCAGAGGTCAGGTCAGGGGTCGGATCAGGGGTCAGGTCAGGTGTTGGGGGTCCGGCCACGGGTTGGGTTGGGTCGGGTCGGGTCATGAATCGGATCAGGTCAGGGTCCGGCCAGGTCAGAGGCCGGTTCAGGTCAGCAGTCAGGTCAGGTCAGGCGGACGGCGCTCACGAAATCGGCCGGCGTACCGGGGTCGAGTGCAGGTGACACGGGTTACGCACTGGCCAAAAAGCATGCTTAGTATCCACAAACGTACGACAAACGAAAATACTGGTTCTCATGTCCAAGCACGATAATGTGTGGGTGTGGGTGTCATTAAGGCTTTACGACACACTCAGCTGCTGAGGCTATATGGCGTCGCCTGCCTCTCACCCTGGCAGGAAGGGCGGGCACCAAGCATGATAATGATAATGAAGACGATTGGTGTGGTAGGGCGCGTCGACAATTGCGGCAAGTTTGCTCTCTCCTCCCATTTTAACCTCTCCTCTGGTCACATTCTATATGGCAACTTTAGGGTGCTATTGAGGTGAGTATATCGCGAAGCATGGGGGACAGATTGCATTGATAAAAGATCACATAATCAACGTTGCATCTCTATAGACACATACTTGCGTGAACGCTAAACCATCAGCACCCCAGCGCACCACACTCCCACGCCAGCCGCTAGGGCAGGCCGAGTGAAATTTCCGCCACACTCGGGATTCGAACCCCAACTCCGCGCTCCCGCCGAACACGTCGCCGGGCGCGCCTAAGCCGGGGAACGATCGGCCGTCGCCCGCGGGTCACTTCACCGGCGCCGGAACGGCGCGAGAAGCAGGGCATGCACCGCCACAGAGAGGTGGACCGCGCCCAGCTCCATCCACTCCCGTTCGTCGCTGCGGACCGTTGGTGGCGACACCACGCACCGTCATGACTCCGTCCACCCCGCCCACCCTCACCTGCGCGGACACTGCGTGCAGCCGTGCTGGCGCGCCTCGTGCTGCTTGGCGTGCTGCGCCAGGCCGGCGCGCGACGCGAAGCGCTTCTCGCAGCTGGCGCAGGGCAGCAGCCGGGCCGCGTGCGCCTCGTTCATGTGCCGACTGAGCGCCACCGTCGTGGCGCAGCGCTCCGGGCAGAAGGCGCAGCGGAACCGCAGCCGGTCGTGGCCCTGCCGGTGCGCTGCCACCGCAGGGGGGAGGTCAGCGGGGGTCAGCGGGGAGCGAAGGTCAGCGAGGGTCAGCAGGGAGCAGAGGTCAGCGGGGTCAGCGAGGGCCAGCGGGGAACAGAGGTCCGCGGGGGTCAGCGGGGGGCGGTGGTCAGCGGGGGCAAGCAGGGAGCGAAGATCAGCGGGGGTCAGCGGGGAGCGGAGGTCAGTGGGGGTCGCAAGGGCCAGCAGGGACATGGTTAGAAAAAAAAAACATGAAGGTCGTGACAGGTCAGAGACTGGTTGACAAGTTTGGTCGCTGCGCCACATACGGCATGGACTGTGCGTTATGCGATGCTCATGAGAGTACGTTCAATCGCAATCATCACAGTCAATCTCAATCATCACAGACAATCTGTCACAGGACCAGGACAGAGACTGACCCATGAGTACAGGCGGGACGCTGCACTGGCGGGGGGCGGGGGACAATCCTGACCATATCTCGCACGCACAGCACGATAGCACTGAGCGCGGAAAGGCCTGTACGGTCACGTGGGCGCAGAGTGGCCTTCCCGCCCACTCAGCCACGCCTCTTACAACAGCGAGCGAAACACAACACGGCAGGCGCGCCGGTTCAGCCGCGACGCCGACGCCGCGCGACGGCGCTCAGCCTGGGTGGAGATCCCGCGCCATCCCTTCACTCCCTTCGAGCCTCTTCCCCGTCCCTCTGCTAGCCTTTCCTCCTGTTGGCCGTCGACCACGACAGCTACAGTGAACACCACACACGCCCCTGGCCGCGCCGACTGCGAACCAAGCGCGCGAGCCCGGCGCGCCCGGCAACAGGACCCACCGGCCAGGCCGTCGGTGGAAGTGAAGGACGCGTCGCAGACGTCGCAGTAGAAGAGGCGCTCTTCGGTCGGCGGCTGCCGGTCGGAAGGGCCGGCCGTCCGGCCGGCCGGCTCGTTGGCGGCCTCGGGCGGCTGCCGACGGTCAGGTTGTTTGTCAAGTCAGGTCAGATTGTGACACGTTCTCGTACTATATCGACAAACAGAATAGCCGTCACACACTTCTGTTGTTCATTGGTGCTTTAGGGCGCCCCGACTGCAATGGTCATTTTGCGTTCATAGACCGTCACACGATGAGCCTTATAACCGACTTGAGTCATTGGACCAACACACGAACTGGCTTAACCAAACGCATTTCCGACTGTCTCCATGCTCCAATGGTAGCCCTGCTTTGTTACCTCTGACTCGGCCAGCACCGAAGGCGGCACCGGCGGCACCAGGTCCCCCAGCACGCTGACCACAGGTGCCTCCCCCTCCTGTCACAGGTGAGAGGTCGTGGCAGGTCAGAATGGCTGTCGGCGAAGACACCCTGCCGCAGAAGACCCCATGCGTGCGACGGTCGGAATGGTCAGTGGCCGTCAGCCATTTTAACTTAAATGAGCTTTTCCAACAAACCCGGGCCGCGTTCCCCATTGCCGAACGCCGTTCACAAGCTGCAACCTATGACGTCATAGGCACGAGTGTCATCACAGATCCTACGACTTTGAGTGCAGTCTCTGGTGTATGACGTAGGCACCTGTGACGTCAAAGGTATTCACTCAAGTACGTGCTTTGCCAATGAGAAACGCGACCCAGGTGTCATACAGATCTCGGCCTGACCTACAACGCCTTCAGGTTGTTCAAGCAGATGAGGCGTCGAACCAAAGTAAGAGACAATTGGTCGTTCAGCTGACCTTTAAATGTCCTCTGCTCAGGCGGTCATCGGTTACCTTGAATATGATGATCTGCTGGTCGGAGTCTCCGTCCCAGATGACGGCCGGGGAGGTGGCGCCCGGAGGCCGGGGGTCATCTGGTGCCGGGGGGCAGAGACGAACATACTGAGACCTTACACGGGGCCGGGGCAGAGGTGGCGTCCGGAGGTCAGGGGTCATCTGGTGCCGGGGGGCAGAAACGGACATACTGAGACCTCACACGGGGCCGGGGCAGAGGTGGCGCCCGGAGGCCGGGGGTCATCTGGTGCCGGGGGGCAGAGACGAACATACTGAGACCTCACACGGGGCCGGGGCAGAGGTGGCGCCCGGAGGCCGGGAGTCATCTGGTGCCGGGGGGCAGAGACGAACATACTGAGACCTTACACGGGGCCGGGGCAGAGGTGGCGCCCGGAGGCCGGGGGTCATCTGGTGCCGGGGGGCAGAGACGAACATACTGAGACCTCACACGGGGCCGGGGCAGAGGTGGCGTCCGGAGGTCAGGGGTCATCTGGTGCCGGGGGGCAGAAACGGACATACTGAGACCTCACACGGGGCCGGGGCAGAGGTGGCGTCCGGAGGTCAGGGGTCATCTGGTACCGGAGGTCGTCTAGTGCCGACGGGGGAGGGCACAGATGGACACCTTGAGACTTCACCGGGAGGGGGGGGGGGGCATACAGAGACAGGCGGGGGAGACGGACACGCAAGCACTGATACCAAACATTGCGACCGGGAAAATACATACACGCATGTAAACGCTGACAGCTCATTGATGGCGACATCTGAGAATCCACTCAGAACAACAGCCGTATGAGAAGCGCAATGGGGTGGGGGGGGGGGGGGGGGAGGGAGGAAAAGGGCCATACAAAAGGGCAGACGCTGAATATATTGGGAGTCGTGTCGGTATCTCCCACACAAACATATGAATATCGTGACCAAACTGAGACCATTTTGCAATACGTGCATGTCCTACAATGACAACACTAACAAGATCGGGATATCGTGATGAACACTTTTCCTCGTGTCTTTTTTCTATTTGAATGACCATATCTTTGGTGAAGCCTACGTGAGGGTTTAAATGTTAGCTGCATGCGCATTAAAGGAATCCATACCACATTTCCAGTCGGAGAGAGACGTGATCTCTCATTTGTGACATGTGAGGCATCTAGTCTGGCCCTAGCCAGATCTCGCTCAGACACGCAGCCGACCCACTGAGACCCCTGGGTAAAACGTGGGCTTCAATGCTCAACCCAGGTCTCTGAGGCCCAGGCTCTTACATGCGGATGATCTCTGCCCGTGAACGTTGAGCGCGACACAATCCGCCCGAGACGTTTTCGCTTGTGTCCCAACACCGGTGAAGGGAGCGTCTGATGGCCCAATCCCTGGTACGCGAGTACCAATCCCCGGGAGCGGGTCTACTCTTAAGAGCCAATCCCCGACCTGGGTTCCGAGCCGCACCTGCCGATTCGCCGTCAGCCTGGCCGTACGTCACCGTGACCAATCCCGTGTCGTCGGCCGACACGATCACATCACCAGGCCCCGCCTCCAGATCGCCGTCATTGGCTGGTTCACCCATCTGCGGCTCGGCGATTGGCTGTCCGTCGAACGGGGGCGGGGCCACCTCATTCTTGTCCTCCAGGATGATTGGGAAGGGCAGCTTGAACTTGAGGCGAACCTGCGGCACGGCACACGCAGTCGTAGTGTTGACTGTACAAGGAGCGGGGTGGTCATGCGACACGCTGACCCAAGCTGACCCGCCCAGAGGCACGTTCTACATTTGTATTGGGCCGCCATGACACACAACCACGTCAAGAAATGGGCGCAAATAGCGAAGGCAGTTGACCCCCTCCCCCCTAAAACACAATAACTAACAAGACTTACAATAAAAATAATCACAGCGGACAGAAAACAACCGCCACAGCCACGAATGTTCCAGGTCCATGTCACGCGTGCTCAATGTCATGCCATGCGTGCTTGATCCGGAGTACCGACTGGCGCTCCGCGTCTTTGGCTAGGCGCAAAGCACTCAACCGTCCCAGGCAGGTAAGACTCGTCGGTCGATCACTGCACGACGAAGGGGCTCTAGAGCTGGACTGTGACCTGGCTCGTTCGCCGCGGTCCTGGACCGTGGCATGCGCAGTCGCCAGTCCTGTACTGTCTCGAGGCTCGCTTCAGTACTCCGTCACTCATGTCCTGGGCGGCTGCGAGCGATTCAAGCCGCTCTCCACGGCTCAGGCAGCTCTCCATGGCTCAGGCCGCTCTCCACAGCTCACGCAAGTGTCCACGGCTCAGGCCGCGCTCCACGGTTCAGGCAAGGCTCTGCGGCTCAGGCAAGTCTCTACGTCTCAGGCAAGTCTCCACGGCTCAGGCAAGTCTCCACGGCTCAGAACGCTCTCCACGGCTCAGGCAAGTGGCCACGGCTCAGGCCGCTCTCCACTGCCCAGGCAAGTCTCCACGGCTCAGGACGCTCTCCACGGCTCAGGCAAGTGTCCACGGCTCAGGCAAGTCCCCACGGCTCAGGCAAGTCTCCATGGCTCAGGCCGCTCTCCACGGCTCAGGCAAGTCTCCACGGCCCAGGCCGCTCTCCACGGCTCAGGCAAAAGTCCACGGCTCAAGCCGCTCTCCACTGCTCAGGCTAAAGTCCGCGGCTCAAGCCACGGCAGAGGCGTCCGGCCATGAACTGATCAGCGAGGCAATCGCACCGCGCAGAAGAGGTTCCGGCTTTCCTGGTACGATTCCCTGACACAATACCCTGTCAGTCAATGCCACCGCACCGGCGACTGCCAGCGCCAGCCGCCCGCTGCCAAGGCTTCTCAACACGACGGAAGTGTCCAGCCTCCAGACAAAATCGTTCAATTTCGTCCACCATGTTATCTACCAGTTCGGTCATGACAAAACCCGGAGTCGGCTGTGAAAAAGAGACGCGATGGCGTGGTGAACCCATGCACGATACGACACTTAACGCGTCGACCGGAACTCAAAGGTTTAAGGCAAAATCAAATGCACGCGTTCAGTCGAAAACGTGCATCGCAACTCAGCGCCGTGGCGCAGGTCATTGAAACGAGGCACCGCACCACTATGGCTGGACGGTGCGTTCGTGCGACGTACGGTTGCTGGATTCACCATTTTCCTTCACCGCACGCCCACACGGCATGCGAGTTTCTACCGCGCTAAATAACATAATCACTGTTACTTAAGGTGAGTATGCGCTTAGTTTCCATCGCCGGCGCACTTCGTTTGACCGCCTCCAAAAACGCCTGCGATTTTGGATCATCATGTGGTTGCAGCCAATGGACATCACAAATTTCTTAAAGGATAAAGTGGCAGCTAATATCGAATTGCCGTGCACGTGCTACCATGTAAAATCCAAAAATTATCAGGTACAACTGCCACTTTCGTACGTTCTCCGCCAATGACCATCACGTGGTATGACCACTTCTACCGCCTCGCGTTTACAGAACGTTTCGAACGTAAACATACACGGCCCTGCCATTTGTGTCTGTTCTGTTCATTGCGGGCCTTGAAACATCTGGTATACAGGTGCCTAGCATGAAAGCACCAGTAAATAATATTTTATTTGCCCATTACCTACCCGATAAAATTCATCAAGTATTCTAGGAAATTCCCTGACGTGCCAAAAGGTGGGCCAATGGGGAACATAGCCCCTGAGCCACCACTTTTACAGTAGGTACTTGGTGATTTCGCAGAAATTGGGTCCAAGTTCGCATAATTTCGGAGGAATTTTGACATTTGGCCCGTGAGGAAGATTTTGGCTACGGGGCCGAAGAGGCGGCACTGACGATTTCGCTGTCATTGCGTAATTAATTTTCAAAGCGCGTCGGAATATCTTTCAATGTTCACAAATGATCCGCACCGGCCGGGCACGGGCTTTTAACGCGTGCTACACATGTGAGCATGCAACTTAAAATGCGCTTTGTTTTAGGTCCATAACGTTGTAACACGCCAGTCATGTGAGCTGAAGAGACCCGATCTTATTCATATCTTCCTTCTTTTCAAGTTCGTAACATTCTTATTCCAGGTTGCGCAGAAGCTACCTATGCCAACCCTACAGAGACGCCCAGGGGCAGCGCCACCAGAGGGGCAAATGGAAACCGCCCCTCTCATTTACCAAGGGGGAAAATATGGCTCCTCAGGTGGCTATATTTGCATCTCTCCCCCTGACCGTTCTCCGCAATGTGCGGCACAACGCGCGGGAGAACAACCCTAAAGTCGTCAAACTTGATCGTCTTCTCATGACCCTGCCCGCCATTTCAGCCAAACCTGGACGCAGTCTCAGTCCGAGTCTGAATTACGCAGTCTCAGTCCGAATTACGCAGTCTCAGGGTGAGACAGGAGTGAAAACGTGCTTTGCTTAGTGCTGACGCAGAGGAGAGTCATCGCAGTAGCAGTGTGTTACGCCTCGTCTTCGCCCGGATCAAATGGATCCAGTTCATGTCACAATCATTTGTCAGTCTAAACGCATCAAATCAGAGAACGCTTGGCTGTGCTAAGTACCGCGCCATAGACGGTGGTGTTGCAAACCTGGAAGGAGCAGGTGAACTCTGCGATCCTCAAGCAACATGTCTTGGGATGCTTTATCCACACCGTAATAAATGGCCGGATTTACTGTCATCATTTTCCGAAAGCGAAGAAAAAAATTAGTACCCGGCGGACAACCCATGATGTAGCTATGGGGTAAAATACATGAAATATCAACCTTCGAAACTGGTGTCACTGTATATACACACACTTATGCACTGATACATTATATGACCGAATGGTCTAGATGAACGCATGCATTGCGCTGAGAAGAAGCCACCAAACGGCGACAATATTTTCCGCCGGCATGGAGCGACGAGCGCTGGGAGGACAAAGGGATGATAGCCACTCAGACTATCTCTTTCTAGTCAATGTTCAAAGGGTCCATATTGTTGGTGTCACCCTCTGCATCAATCCACGATTTCCGCTCCCCACATATGACGATGGTGCGGCTCAAGACCCACGAGGAATTTGCATAGCTCTAACCAGTTATGAGAATGCAGGTTGTTAATCTGTGATTTATCATTCATTTCTTTTTATTTCAGTGTTGTGGTTTTACAGCCAGTTTTCACCCCATAGAGGCCAGGTCCCTGCTTCTATGCCTTTCTCATACCTCATTCTCATAGGCAAGCAGTTTACTCTCATGTTCATCAATAAGGTTCAGGAGAGATTGGCAGGTGCTGCAAATGTCCACCTGCTGCACCTGGCAAAAAAGGTTGTTTTTCACTGCATAGTAAAAATTACCATGCAATGTGGCATGATCAATGGTTAAAAAACCATGCATGTGCACCACATGTGCATCTACAACAATATACAATACAGTGTAATGCAATGTACAATACAAAGTGACATAATGCATAAAACCATGTAATACAATGAACAATACAATGTACAATACAAAGCAGTACAATGCATAACATAATGTAATACAATGAACAATGCAATGTACAATATAAGGTGATACAACAAGCAATGCAACATACAATACAATGTAATACAATGTAATTTGTCATTGTGTAATGCAACACAATGATTCAATTTTTAATGTATGTGCAATACAATATAATGATTTAATGTCCAGGCTCACACAATGCTCAGTCATATGAATATTGGGTGAAGTGTGATTTGTGGATTACAGGTATAAATCTTAACTGAACTGTCAGAGATGTATGGCCCAAAATCAGGCAGGATATGATCTCATTGAAGAAGTCCACACACTGCCTATGCTAGTCACAATGCATGCAATTTTAACAAATGTTGTTTCTGACACTTAAAACATTCTGAATGGTGCTTGAACATGAGTAGCTAAGGCATAAAACCATGCATGCATGCCCTACATAACTTACTGAATTACTTTCCAATTTCCTGTGAACAATACGTGACAGCCTGGTGACGAACAAAGTCCTGGTGAATTGTGTGCGCTCCTTGAAAACATTCTTGGGATTGATGAGCTGGTTCTTGCAGATAAGACAGGGCACTAGGATAGGGCCATCCATGATCTGCAGGAACACAGCATGGGTTAGATAAAGGACATAGCCTCTTATACCCAGTAACTTACATGCAGCTTGGCAAGCAATCTGATTTCATACTAGTACAAGACATAGACCAGCCTGCTGATAGCCAGCTGCTAGTAATGCATTGGTAGTGCATTATGGCATAGGACCCATAGACCAGTCAGATTTTGCTTCCTTCACTGATTTGTGATGACCTGCCACTCCTTCACCCTCAGCATTCTGACAGGCAAAGAATAAAAAAATTCATATAAAACCATTAATAATTCTATTTCAGATCAGCATAGATTTGATCTGGAATATTTCACGCACCAAACATGTCACCTCAACAGCCAGGGCAATTGATGCCAGACTTGTAAACCTGAATTGCAGTGCATAGAGTGCCAATGATTCTAGAATTATGGTAGCCATAACTTTAAGCAACAATGTTTTATGAGCATTTCTTATATTAAATCAATTAAAAATTTGGCACAATTCTGCCTGGGGTGAGTTGCTGCACACACAAGCTGGGAGTTCAGCACACTCCTGATACATAGGTGTGCCTAGCTGGGTGCCTTGCCTGCCATCTCGCTCTGTTTGTGTGAGTGTATGTGTGTCGCGCTGATATACCTGTGTGTGCAAAAATGTACCAACCTGGCGGCGCGAAAACAAACTATCTAATTATTATTCACATCATAGGTGTCCAGCAAGCAGCGGATAGATCTTCGCTGACTGGACTAAGCGTCCCTTTCGGATACCACTATTGTCTGTTCTCACACAATCTTGAATCTTGCAGTGTGTTCTAGGTGCAACAGCAAAACACCTCCGCAGCAACATGAGGACTGTTAACGTACCTGACAGCAGATGAGGAACAACCCGAAGGCAACACGAATGCCAAATATCTGCAACATAAATGACTCTTGCGCGTCAGAAACGCTAGCTGTCCATGATACCAGCGACCACGAAATATGAAACAGAGGTGCCGCGTGTGCAGGGCCTCCCTGCGTATTGGTATATATCTCAACAGTTAATGAACAGTCCGTCTGCTTTTCGGCCGCGTCAAGCGCGCCGTCGTATAGAGACCTGCATCATCGCAAGAGGTCCTAAATCGGTGCACGAAGCCTCTGAATGGCATCTGAGGGCTCGACCTTACGGGCCGCAGTCCTTAACACGACCTGCGGCCAGCCCTTCGGGCCCTTCAAGCTCTCCATTTGGGCTCGTTGCCGTCGGTCTAGAGGAGCCTGAACCCATCGAGACCGACGGGGTCACGTGCCCTCTGCCCTCCCCCCCTCCGCATGCGCTCCTGTCCGCGTGCAGTGGAACATCACGCATGTGGGCGTTGCGTGTCATAAAATGTCTTCAAAATCTAGTGCTCTTTCCAAAACAAAACCAGGGCTCCCTCATCCACCCTACGCACGCACGCACGCACGCACGCACCCGCACGCACGCACGCACGCACCGCACGCACGCACGCACAGCACACACACACACACACACACACACACACACACACACACACAACACACACACACACACACACACACAACACACACATCGCCAGGATGTGGCCCGCAATGAGGCCCTTGAACCCGTGTGCTGATTGCAGCCTTCAGGCTTACCTCAAATAAACATCAGCGAACACTAGGTGCTGCGGGGACCGGATCATCGAAGGATTTGGACTGATTGGGCTATTTTTTGTGTTAGGAAGATATGACATGGCACGCGGGACGTCCCTTTATCTACTTTCCGAGGACTTGAGCCTGCCAATGCTGACTTGAGACTTTTCCCACATGGTTCTCCGTCTTTGAGCCCCCCCCCCCCCTCCCCTCCCCCAATGCAAATAATCAAAGGGAATTCTGGGTCAAGTAAACGGTAGATCAATCGTCTAAATTACTTAAAGACTAGGTAGTAGGTATCTAAGCGAATCACTATTGGTATCATGTTAATTTTGCAGCAAATAGTATCATGTACGTACCTAATGTTTTCGCTATGCTAAGTCCATCATCTGTTAAGCCAGTTTGCAAACGTTTCATTTTTTCGAATGGTATTTCCTGGATTGAGATAAAACGCAACTGACTGCAGTATGTTATAGCTTTTAAAAGTACAGGGCTGCCCAAATCCAAGTTAACGCATGTTTTCCCCAACAGTAAGAAGTGCATTTGTCACAGAATTGCGGCGTGATGGTTATGCAGCTCGATCAGCGACAGCGATAGTCATCAGTGATCAGGGATGTCACTTTCTAAAAATCAGTTGGCGAAGGGGTCAGCTCAGCCGAAAAGGCTGACCTGACCTACCTCAAAGTCTGATTTTTCCTGGATTCCAGGCACTGAATATGCGTCCTCGACGCTAAATGTTTATCTTTCCTAGACTCAAAATTGTGTTCCTGCGAGGGAATAATTTCCCATTTCAAGAAGATATCTGAACTCCATTTTTGTGGGAGCTTACAATAGGGTGTAAGATGTTGTAAGCAGTTAAAAGGCTGCTGCAAACTGCAGTCAGTTGTTCTTTATCCCAATCTAGGCGTTGTCATTTCAAAAACTTGTCAAACATTTCCAAAAGGATTTAACATAGGAAGGTGATAGCATAACAAAGACATTAGGTACCTCTATTAGCCTTTCTGGTACACAAATTAACTTACTTATCATTTAGTATCACTTATCGTGACTAGTATCACTTTGTATCATGACATTAACATGATACCTACAGCGACATGCTTAGGTACCTACTACCTAATACGCCAACAAGTGAGATAATTGTTCTGCTTTTCTTTGGCCCAGTATTTTCTCTTTGCTCAGATGTATTGAGGGGTTCAGAGAAGCGTTGGGGGAGGGGGGGGGGCTCAGGCTCCTCCCCCGAAAGTGCATAAAGCAGCGCTCCTTCTTGCCCCATGCCCCCATTCCTTCCAAGGCCCTATTCTTGCTTGCCAACCTGCACCTAAACACGCCTCGCCCGCACGCGCCGTACGAAATCGCTATCTCGGACCCCGACGTCTGCCCGCGAGTGGTACCCTACTCGCTCACCAGATGGCAGCACTAGAGGGGCTGTTTAACGCCTGCCGCACAGGTCTGCAGTATAGTCCCGGACTTGCGCCAGAAGGGTGCTGTGGGGCTGCCACGGCACTGAGGCCTTCACACACTGGGCACTGGCGTTGGAACAAGCCACAGCGGTGGAAGTGAAGAGTGAAGAGCATCTCATTTGTTGAGCTGTGTTTGCCGATGTGGGCGTCAAGTGAACGAGGTTCGCGTCATACCCGCAAGCAGGCACGTACCGAGGTGATCGACTTCATCTGCTCACAGGATGGACATCTTCGACATCCACAAACTGCAGTCATTAGAAGAACAGGCCGATACTTGGCTTACCTCGCGTTCGAAGGCAGTGGACGGCCACCAGCTCTTCGTCGCGCTAATGTCCACACCGTACATCACTGAAGGCGCGATGAAACAACGAGATTATGTGGCCAGCTGTGAGGAAATCCTGGCTGCGACGTTCGCTTCCACGTCTGAATCGTCCAACCCGCTGGTGCTGTCGGTGGACGAAGCACAGTGCGCCTGCGCCGACCTTAAAGGACTGTCCGTGGGCAAGATACACCTCTCCGGAAGCGCGCGAGAACGCGTTGACGTCCGCATCTTCCACGATATGAATTCTGACCTGGACGTCATGTTCCAGATGGAGCCAGTCACCGTGCTCGGCTCGTCGAACGCTATCCCCGAGCGCACCAACAGCGGCATCGTGTTGATCCCAGAGAGGACCAGCAACCCCGGATACGTGCTGCTGAAGCACCCTCCGAGCAGCTCGTGCAGTCACTCGGGTCAGCTGACATTTGCGGGCGATCGGGTGGTGAAGCTGCTGGACAAATTCCGGGGAGTGCTGAACGAAGCTGAGGCTCCAGGCGCGGTCGGTCCCGCGCTAAACACCACGGTTTCCGACGTCATACAGGTGGCCAAGTCCATCGATCTGGTGGCGTGCGTGCAGGCTGAGGAGTGGCCGTTCGAGGACTTCTTGACCCGGCCGAGGTTGTCGGGTGGCCATCCGAGTCGCTGGTGAACGCGCTATGCACCCTTCCTGTGTTCCTGGTGCCGGTCGGCTTTCCCGGCAGTGCCACGATGGCGGAGGAGTGGCGCGTGTCGTTCTCGCGCCAGGAGTACGCTGTCATGCGCCACATGAGCCAGACGCAGCGGTCCTGCCTCACGATCCTCAAAAGCTGCAAGGCCGTGCTCGGTGGTCTGCACGCCCTTAAGAGCTTCTATCTGAAGACGTCTCTGATGTGGCTGTGCGAGTCCCTCGACAAGTCGATGTGGAGTCCCGACGGCATCCAGGAGTCTCTCATGACGATCCTGACGTACCTGGAGGAGTGCGTGCAGCGGCGTGCCCTTCCATGCTACTTTTCCCCCGAGATAAACGTGTTCGCAACGAAACGTGACGAGCAGCTGGCCGAGCTAGTGGTGGACATCCAAACACTGAAGAGTCACATTTTGAGCTCCTCCCTGGCCCTTGTGGCCAACTGGGTGGGCGCCGATATCAGCCGGGTGGGGACGCTTTTCCTCCCTGATGAGTCAGGCGCGTGTGAGACGGCCACAGACATCGAGCGTTTGCTCTTGACCATCGGTCGCGAGGACCTGTTCAGTGGTCGCTTGAACCTGATGAACATGCTGAAGCACATGGTCACGTACGGAGGAAATTGGCCCAGACTAATACTGCCATTCGCATTCAACTCCCCGATGCCATTGTTATGTCAACCGCTTATGGCGAGTCTCAGAAGCGTGCTGTACGACGGATGCAGCCAAGGGAGGGTCATGAGCCTCATCATCTCCGCGCTTCAAACGCTGCTGAAGGTCGAGAACCGCGGGACATCCCTAACGCAAGATGCTTGGATGCTTCGCTGACTGAACACCCGGCAGGCTGACGTAGATTATGTCAGAACAGAGGCTTTCGCATTGATGTCTTGATGATGCCTGTTGTTGTTGCATGCAGTTGTTTTCGCCGAATGAGCAACATCAGCAACACGTTCGGCAAGAAAACCACCTTTTAGTGTTGGACCTTGTTGCGGGACCGTTTAGTGTTAGAATACAACCAGATATGATCATCGCTTTTGTTTATGTGGAGATAAACGTGAACAAGCATGACACAAACATCGGGTGCTAAAAGTCGGAATGCTATCAAGGTGAAGGAATTTGCTTACAGACGGACAAGAATGCAGCACTTTCCAATTCCTCCCTACGCATCCAACCCCATGCTCATGACACATTGAGCTGTTAGGTAGTGGCATGCCTCTGGATTTGTATATGATGTCGCCTAACCATTCCAGCTAAACTACTGAAGTTTCTCGACTTCAAGCGATAACTTTTTATGATGCAACGTATATCTCATATTGCCACATATTGGTGGCAAATTTTTTAATCTGTTGGTTAAAATGTGTCCAATTCAACTTTTTATTCGTTGCTAGTTGACCAAACACTGTACAGTCGTATATCGTTGTGGTTTATGGCAGTTGTTTAGGACGCCTACGCGCCAGGCAAGCGGTAGGTTGCGCGAGAGAGGTTGGCCTTGGGGTGGTGGCGCGTGGCGGGGGCGCGAAGTGTTGGGACGCCTCGGACGTTATATTATTGCTATTGTTGTTATTACCGAGGTGTTGGGCCAATACCCACGGTAACAACTGACTTAGTGTTTGGTCGGGCTGGTGAGAGCGGACGATACTACAATCGTGTACTAAGGACACGTTGGCGGCTGGATGCAAGCACAGCCATACACATCAAAATAGCTTGTTTATCTATACGCTATCTGCGTGAGATATCTCTGTCTGTCTATGGCTGTCTACCTGTTCGCCGTCTTTACACTGACAATTCCG